AACGGTCAAAGCATTCATGAGAAAATGTCAAAATACTGAGCACACCCATTTTTACCGGATTTTTAGGGTCAAAATTGACCCCCTTACACTTGTTTTAGCTCGCATTTTTCATAGGTAAAACTAAATGACCTAATATTTTGGATTTGACTATAGATCATCTAGGCCTATCATTTAAGAAAATAAAATCGCGAAAAAAATTTTTTTCCCCGGCGACCTCTATGGAGAGTAGGGTGGTCTTCTCGCGGACCCTCTCTTAAGTCTATTGACAAAATGGAGAAAATAAATGTATATCAAAATCCTTCGATTTTTACCTGGCCAAAATGATAAGACCTCTAAAACTGCTTTGTTTTTAATGAATGAGAGAGATGTAAGTTTTACTAAAAATTTCCAGAAAGTTAGAGAAGCTTTTTTTGCATATTTTCATAACAGAGAGGTTTGTAAAATAATCTATTTTGGATGGAAAATGTCGTCTGAGCTTCGTATGATAGCTGAAAAATTTGAAATGGAAGCTGAATTAATGTTTTAGTAATGAATTCGAATACAAAACATTTTTTGATGCAAAACTTGATGTTTTCATGCTGTATGCACTGTCTTGATAGGAGCATTGATATGCTTACAAAAAAATCGTATGCATTCCTAGAATATAGGTAAAAACGCATTTGAGTGTATTATTGATTTACCATGAAAATTGACGCATACGAACATACATTGTAACACGTTTGCATATGCTTGATTCTCGACTTACAAACGCACTGATGCAAGAAGATTTTCCACATGAGATAGCAGTTATTTGGAAAAAAACGGTAGGCATAATTTTCAATTCTCGAACGAAACCGCTATCAGTTTTCGTTACCATAACAATCTCTATAACAAGACAGTGCATACAGCATGAAAACATCAAATTTTGCATCAAAAAATGTTTTGTATTCGAGTTTATTATCAAATCATTATTTCAGCTTCCATTTCAAATTTTTCAGCTATCATACGAAGCTCAGACGACATTTTCAATTCAAATATAGATTATTTTACAAACTGTTCTGTTATGAAAATATGAAAAAGGAGCTTCTATAACTTTCTATGAAACTTTTTAGTGAAACTCACGTCTCTCTCATTCATGTGGGTCACTCGGTAAGCAACCCACCCCTACTGAGGCATCGCTCGAACAGTAACTGGGTCACTTAATCGTTAACCAGTCACACCTCAGTTTACTAGATTTTGACTATAATGCCTCCAGATGACATGATACAAGAGTTCTAAATGGACTCCCATTGGTTAGCATGATAGGTTTTGTGAACTTGTAGCCCGATTATATAAGAATTGCACACAAAATATTGTTTTTACCAAAAATTTTAGCAGTAGGCTGAAGTTTAGCCCTCTACTTAGCGAATGCCACAGCTACCGACCCACGTTTGCCAGGATTCCGACTTATCATCACTAAGCCCTTTCTTAGTATCAATTGACAACTTCATTCGGACAGATTAGTGAGAAAAGTGTATATGTATTCACACTGTTTCTCATCGTGGTACTAGTTCGATTCAGGCCTGTCTAGCTCATAACTCAAGGCGGCGGATCTGTGATTTCGCCGACTTAAAGAAGAATGAGGCTTCTTAAGTTACTAGGGTCATCGCCGGAAAGGCACTGCAGCATTGACCCCCTCTCTCATCTATTCATAAGAAAGCAGTTCTACTGGTCTTATAATTTTGGTTAGGTAAAAATTGAAAGATTTTAATACACATTTATTTCCTCCATCTTGTCAATAGACTTAATGAAATCTTATTCCATATTAGCGTAGAGCATACTCAAATGTATGCAATCACATCAATTTTTCTTTTCTAAAATATCTCTAGTAATGGAAAGCAAGCAAAGAATCGCTCTCCAATAAATAGTCTTATATTTTTCGACAGGTCTGTAAGTTATTTTCTAGGTGTTGTAAGCCGTTCCGCTACAGGATTCCAGGAATTGAGTCAAGACGGAATTACAAGCAATTATTAGGATTTCCATGCAATTCCGTTTTTACTCAATTCCCTGAATTGCGTCACAGAATCATTTCTAGTCCTCTCCCTCACCAAGTTTTGTGCCGATAGATTATCCTCTAGAAGCTGTAAATAATTCGGATACGAAATTCCGAGAATTCTGTCATCGAACTATCTCTCATCCTCAAGTAGTCATGTGGTTAGAGATTGTTCTCTGGGAGTTGTAAGTGATTTCACTACAGAATTTCGTGAATCATGTCAAGATGGCATTATCAGGAATTGGTAGAAACTCGTGGGAATTCCGTGCAATTACGTATTGGCTTAATTCCCGGAATCCCGTACCAGAATTGCTTACAACTCCTAGAGATTAACCTATAATAACATGAATGCACAAGTGTGAGGGCTAGAAGTAATTCCGTGAAGGGATTCCAGAATCTTGGTTAATACGGAGCTACGGGAATTGAGAGAATATGGAATTCCTGGAATTTAGTCGAAAAAATTGATAGTGGTGTCGCGGAGTGACCAAGATCGAAGAAAAATAGCAAGATAAGCTATATGTACGTACACGTACATTTACAAAAACACGATTTAATTGTACAACACACTGGCACCCTCTACTCGAGTGTCCTTTGTACATATCACCGTTGTTCAAGTCATTTTGAGTTGCAGATGATATTCATATACATTTGAATGTGATATGTATATGAACGTTATTTTGTTGCATACGCTAGTAGTGTATCTAGTGTTATATCTCGTAGGTTCAAGCTCTTATAGTTCAATGTCATTATCACTGGTAGTGCGTATTTTGTCTTAGATTTTGTTGTTCTGTTTTTACTTCGAAATATTCGATCGTATCTTTCTGAAATTAAGTTTCTAGTTTTTTTTAGATTCGTTTAAAGCAGAACTCAATGAGTTTAACATTGAGGCATTTGAATGCTGATACATCTTGGTTAATTTTATTCGAAAACTTTAAAATATTACTCGATCCATGGCTATTCGGTTCGCAGAGTGAATTCTCTCGTTATTTTTCAACTCAAGAGCATGCTGTTAAGCCGTCTATTCAAAATATAAATCGTGATCTTCACATGCAGATTGATGCAATCATTATTTCGCATGAATTTACTGATCATTGTCATGAACAAACATTACGTTCATTATCCAAAACTATTCCAGTTTTTGCGACCACTAATGCTAGCAACCGTATACGCCGGTGGAATTATTTTCAATATGTCTATGAGATTCCCTTGTTGGATGATCGACCTGAAAATTTCACACTTTCCATGCTAAGTGGGCAACAACCAGAGTTGGGCATGCCTAGCACAATCAGTGTGGGATATATACGGGAAAAAGGATTGACGAATTTGGCATCATTGCATGGTGCAACATGCATATCGTTTCTTGTAAACAATCAACAGTGGCGTAGTTTACTATATGTACCGCATGGATGCAAACAAAGTTCGATTCACGACTGGTTAAATCAGCAATGTAATGTCAAGGTCAGTGTTCTTCTGCAAGGATTCAACAGGATCTATAATCCTGTATGGCTCGGTGGTGTACTCAATTATGGATGTGAGAAAGCAGCCAAGCTAGCGGTAGCTGTCAAAGCACAATATTGGATAGCTACTCATGATGAGGATGTACTAGCAAGTGGACTAGTTTCCAAATTCGTCAAACGAGACACTTATGCAATCACCGATGCACAGATACAGTTAAATAAGTATCTTACTCAGAATACCGATCAACGCATAGCTACAAGTATTCATGACGTTCAAAATGGAGACTCATTGATAGTAGATTTAACAATCTGACGCATAGTATTGGAACGATAGAGAGGAGAACTAGCTCTACCGTCCTGTACGGCATTGATGTTGATCGAGCTACTTCACTCTAGATCATTATGAGAAACGGAGAGGCATGGTTGTAGTGTCTTACGACACAATATTTATTCGACTATGCTCTACATTCAAGTGTATCTATCTAATGCAACAAGAGCTAAGGGTGTGGGTGTGAGTGTGCATAAATTACCACGATAACCTAATAGATTATTTCGAATGTTTCTAACTCAATTTTTCCCTCGGCTGAAAGGAGGGTCATATGAAAAAAAATAGTTTGCTTGTTGCTTGTCACAAGGTCAAAAGAACATCGGGGTTAAAAGAACATCTATTTTAAGTTCTCTTCTATAAAGGTTGACGAAAGTAAATCAAGGTCGAGGAATCGGAATCTGAAGTCAGATTTTCAAAATTTTGAATTAAGTTTTTAGGGTCCAGAAAGTGTTTTTTCGAGTAAGTAACAATATTTTATAAAGGTTGACGAGAGTAAATCGGATCGGAGAATCCGAATCTGAAGTCAGATTTTCAAAATTTTCAATTGATTTTTCATGGTCATGGAAGAGATTTTTGAGAAAAGAAAGAAATTCTATAAAGTTTGACGAAAAC